AAATTGACAGTGTGACTCACAAGGAGTGTAGATCCAACGCAGGAGCGTGAACAAAGCACCCGTGTGGGGCTTCTAGAGACCTGTCACGCAAGGCCTTCGGATTTCGGTTTAGTTTGTTGTTCGCTGGTGCGTTGATTATCGGTTCGCTTTTCGGGATCAGCCCTTAGCCTCATGCACCCAGTGAGGCGAGCGGAACTTGGACGGGACAGCACCTTATTGGTTGGGAGCTGCCCAGCTTGGGTGGGCGGTAGCTGTTCTTTGAAGTGCGGAGAGTTCTCCCACCGTCGAGAGGAAGCTCTAGGTACCCCGCTCCCACGTCCATCTAACGGGGTTTTTGACCGATAAACTGCTCCTTCTCGTGTTTTTTACTGGAATGACCTCTCCAGGATCGGGAATGAATAGTCAAAGGAAGCCAGGAGGTGACCAAGCAGCTGGCCTTCTGAGACTGATCTTCGTCTGGCCTCTACTCATTGGTCTTTAAGGCATGACTGGATTCTCGGCCTCGAGAAACCATTCTGTTTAGGTCGCAGGGTCGTGGAGGCACGCAAGCCATCACACCTCGTCAAGGTGCAGTCTCGTCGTGATGGTGAACACGACGACTTGGTGACGAGGCATCAAGTGATTAGGTGGTCTCCTGCCTTTCAGGGTCCGAATAGTTGTAACTAGTTGGTTGGACCGAAGGATATCACAACTAACCGGCGGCAGCGGCGTTCTCATTGTTTACGTCAGAATGCTTGAAAAGGTATGTACGCACAGTAGGATTGTGTACTGTCAATTATGATTTCATCAATCAACATTTCAATCCGTGCATTGAGACCCATGTCTTTCTCGTGTAGCAGCAAAAGGTGGCATATTCAAACTCGTTCATGAGGCCGTCCACAAGTAGGGGGCTTTCGCCTCCGTTTTGGGTTTGTCAGAACTCCTGGGTTAACATGATAAAGCGATCAAGTCTCTAAAGGGTATGAATCGATTACCATACCGAAGCTCTCATGCGAATTCACTTTAGATCGTTGCGTATTCTTTAATTTAATTTTGTTAATGGTACTGGTACTTCTCAAGTTTTAGGTTGATAACCACTTCTCGTCGTATGACATCAAGGGCACCAATGATATTCGAAAAAGGCAACGGTCATGAGACCGCAACGAATTGAATTACCGCTCTAACACAGGAACAATTACTGCTGTTAGAGAAGAAACTGTAAAAGCCATACTGCGGAGATTGGGAATAAGGAATTCAACACCAGAACGAAACTGACCCCTGCTACAGTGAAGGACCGCAGTTATTAACCTGATCACTTCACGAATCCAAATGGATCACCTCTTTATATTCTTCAAGGGAGAGCAGAAAACGAAGCTGAAAAACAAGATTTTAAAGGATGAACGATTTTCTTAACCAAATAAGCAACCGAATGATAAATGGGTTACTGAAAATAGAGGCTGATACGTTACTATACAAATCAGAAATGGACCAAAGTGGTACGGAATAACAGTTTACTGAACTTAGCCATGGTGAGCAGCAAAATCTGTGCTAAGTTACTGATCGCCTAGTAACTGATTAAGTGCAGCTAAGCGGATCACCACCGACGGGTATTAGATCCACTGCACTTAACCAGTTATCAAACCAAAATGCCCCGTGTGTTGTTAGGTTCCTACTACGGTAGCGGTTCTATAATCCATTTTCATTAAACTACCCTGTGCAGTCAAAGCCGCATCAGCCTAACGGAGCAGTTACCGTGAGGAAACTAGATGGCAACGCCACCGAAATGAAACGGAGAAGACTCGAACTAGGTATGTATAACCACAAGTAGTCCTACTTACGTTCCTAAAGACGATCCCTGAACGAATAACATAGGGTCGTCTATTAAAACAAAATGCAAAGCCAAAAGCAGAGATTAAGAGATCTTACTCTCTTCTCGCCAATTTAGACGAGGGGAGATCTGATAGACCTTCAAAATTGTAAGGTCTTTCGGGACTTGCTCAGGACTTCTCGTGCTCAAAGCACGAGAGGTCAAGGCTTCAAACTTCAACAGAATCACGCCGGTCAACTTCTCACACAGGGTCATATCTATGTGGAACAAGTTACCCGAAAAAGTGGTCAACTGCACCAATGTTGACGTCTTTAAGGTGTCCCTGGACGCGTTTTGGTTAGCAACGTCCCCCGAGATCAGTAAATAGCATGTAAAGTGAGGAAACCAGGAATAAAGTCCACCATAGTCTGAACTTTCTGAAAT